ATGATATGCGTATAGGAATGGATTAAATGATGAATTTAAATGTGACATTATAATACAAAAATCCGTTAGAATTGGATTAACGTTACAATCTCTACAAATGGCTTTTACAAAATTTATTGTGTACAGAGGAAACCAACAAATAATAAAAAATAAAACTATTATTGATAGATTTTGTGTTGCTTTGACTTCTTTTTTTCTTGCCGCACCAAGAACTCTTAACATTCCTCCAGATCTTTTCATTGGTGATAAAGAAGCCGGTGATAACAAAACCATTTGTTGTATCTAAATTATGAATAAATTCACGAATGAATGAATGAATGAATGAGTGGGTGAATGAATGAATGAATGGGGAATTTAATTAACTCACTTGTTGTAATACGACTCTATATATGTTAGCATAAAATGCTGCTAAAAGTATGGCGGGCGCGATTATTGTTGAAAAATATAAAAAAACGAGATAATTATAATTCATAACTTCGACGAAAAAACATTTTTTATCGATTGATCCTCCTCCTTCGTTCCAACCGAAAAGTGGTAAAAATCCAACTAATGCTCCAGTTATCCAACAAACAAAAATAATCTCTGGAAGGAATCAAAAAACAAATTAAATTCTGGATAAAAATAAAAGAGCGAAGATAATGTGATATTGAATCCAGTGATTTTTTTTTTAAATTTAATTTCCAAAAAATTTAACGGTTTTAACTTTTTTAATTGTAGACTCCAGCAGTAAAGCAAAAATTAACGTTAGAAATTTTAATTCTCTTTTTTTCTTTTTTCCAGGATTTTTTTTTTTTTTTTTTTTTGTCCCCCGAATTATTGATTTACGTCACGTTTTGGTCACAACACATTTGTGTGTAGTTTTTGTAACCTTTGACCTCTAATCAAAATTTAAGTTTTTTTATTACTAAAAAACTTTTAGTCTGGAAAAAAAAAAAAAAATTTTTTTTTTCTCCAGGCTAAATTTTTTTTTTATCCACACGCGTCCATTCGCGATTCGATTCACTTTAAAAAAATAAAAAAAATTTATCGAAATTATACCAGATTTATTATTATTAACGACGTCTCGTTTTCCCCTCCCCTTTCCCCACCTTCCCTCCTTTTAATATCGATAATAATGATAATAATAATAATAATATTTTATTAAGTGACAAGTTATATGTTTAAATTTTAATAAAATTTCAAGGGAAAACATTTTTTTTTTTTTTTTTTTTTTTTTTGATTTATGTTCGGCGTGAGGGAGGACTCCGTGGGTGGCGGGGGGAGGAAGGGGGAGGCGGGGAGAAAAATTTCCAGTCTGGAAAATTTAAAGTAATTTGTAAGAAAAGGACGAAGATGAATATTCAATTTTCCGGATTCAATTTTTAAAATTAATTACGACGTAAAATTATTACTCACAAAAAATTATTTTTTCTTTTTTCGGATAAATTTATTAAAACAACAAACGACAACCAACAACCGACAATCGACAAACAAATAAATAAATTCTTATTTTAAAGTATTTATTATTAAATATTTGCGTTTTTTATTAAATAAATAATAAATAAAAAAATTTGTAGCGTTAAAAAAAAGGAAAATTTTTGTTCTTATCATAACAAAAAAATTATTATTATTATTGTTATTATTATTATTATTATTATTATTATTATTATTATTATTATTAATTTTTTTTAACGTTCTAAAAAAATTTTTATGTCTTTTTTTTAAATAAAAAGAAAAAGAAAAATTCGTCGTAAAATACATTTAATAAACGTTGCGCACCTAAATTAAATGTTGCAAACAAAAAAAAAAATTTTCCGGGTTGGAAAATTTAATGTTGTTACGTGTTAAAACAAAAAAAAAAGGGGGAGGTGGGGGGTGGAAAAACTTTTATTATTATTATTATCATCACCAAAACTTATGTTTCCATTTGGAAAAAAAAACTTTAAATTTTTTTTTTTAATTAATTTAATTGTCTCGGTTTTTCTTCTACTTTTTGTTACTTTTCCTAGAAAATCTTTTTTTTTTTAAATAATTTTATTATTGTAAGAAACAAATCGAAATTTTAGTTCCCCCCCCGCCTCCCTCCCCCAAAAAAAAAGGAAATTTGCCAAAAATATATTATACATATATTTTTAATAATGTTTAAAACATTTTCATCGTTTAAAAAAAAAAAAAAAATTGAATTAAGAAAATGAATTTGTGTGTGAGAAAGGGAGAGAGAGAAAGAGAGAGAGAGAGAGAGAGAGAGAGAGAGAGAGAGTGAGTGAAAAGATTTTCCATCTAAAATAACATTGAACGTTTTTTTTTTTTTTTTTTTTTTACTTTTTCACTAGCAGAAAGCACAAAATTAGTTATCATTTTGAATTGATGTTAATAAAATGGGGAGGGGAGAGAGAGAGAGAGAGAGAGAGAGAGAGAGAGAGAGAGAGAGAGAGAGAGAGAGAGAGAGAGAGAAAAGGGACAATACCATCAAATAATATAAATCATTAAAAAAAAAACAAGGTGAATACCTATGGATGCTGATTAAAATGACATCATCACAATCATCACAATCACCACAACAACAACAACAATAATAATAATAATAATAATAATAATAATTGTTATGTATGTAATTATTGAACAATAAAAGTTAATCAATAATAATAATAACAAAACGTCATTATTATTTTTTTTTTTAATAATTCAAATGGATCAATTTCATTTTCTCATACGTTTGGGATAAAAAAAAGATAATAATAATAATTATTTGGTACTCACCAATGGCAGTTTTCGATCTCACATTTCTAGAATAACTCATAGGATATAAAATAGCCCAATACCTGTCGACGGAAACGGCAACCAAACAATTTATCGATATTGTACATAAAACGATGAGTAAAGACATGTTAAATAAACATAAATAAATGTTTCGTGGTAATCCAACGCTGGCTAATATTGCAAATGGTATACCAAAGAATCCAACCTGAAACGATAATAAAATGTTTTTATGTATATTTTACAACTGGGGGGGGCAGAGGAGCAGGGGAGCAGGGGAACAATTAAATTTATTTGATTCATGTATGAAGGAGGGGTATAAGAGGAATAGAGAGAGAGAGAAAAAAGGTATGATAAAGAGATTGGAGGATAAATATGTCGTCGTCGTTTTAAACAACCTTGTTATTAATAATAAGGGTTAGTTAATAAATAATAAATAATAATAATAATAAATAAATAACTCTTATTAACAACGTAATGTGATAACATTCCCTTATAAATTTTTTTTTTTCATTTTCATTTTTTGACAAAATTTATTATATGTTTGATAAAAAAAAAAAAAATCTCAATTTTCATCAAGTGGTGGTTATGTCTCTTAATTTATTATTAATTAAGTGATGACATTTTTTTTTTTTTTTTAAATGATAATAATAATAATAATATAAAATTAAATTCTTTTCTTATTTTTTTAAATAATTAAATTAATTAAAAATTTAAATTATAATTTATTTATTTATTTTAAAAAGTTTACCATTGTTAAAAAAAAAAATAAATAAATAAATTATAATGAATCATTGTAGAGGGAGAGAGAGAGATAGATAGATAGAAAAAAAATTAAAATTTAATTTAATACAAATTAAATAAATTAATAAAATAAATCACGTCACACGAGGTTTACCCTTACATTTATAAATAATTATTTATTAATAATTTCATGACTGATATTTATTCATACATAAAATTTAAATAAAAACAAAAAAAAAAAAGATTTTATTTCTCTCTCTCTCTCTCTCTCTCTCTCTCTCTCTCTCTCTCTCAATTAACTTTATTACCTTATTATTATTTTCTTGAATCAAATATATATTTTTGAAGATTTTTATTGTTATTATTATTATTATTTTCTGAAACATTTAACATTATTTAAATTGTTTATGGAGCAGGACAAATAATTTAGTACTAACCAATAAATCAGCAATTGCCAATGATATTATATAATATTTTGTTGTTTTTCTTAATCTTCTTTCTTTCAAATAAACAACAATAACCAATGAATTTCCAATAATGGCAGCAACAGCAACCAAAATTTCAGCAATTGTATAAGGTACATTTAAATTTGACCATGGATTATTATTATTATTATTATTTTCAATACTTGATGATATATTTAAATCAGATTCATTGAACATTTTTATAACTTCTGTACTTTTCTTAATTGTGGTAGGTAAACACTCAACACTGAGATTTGAAAAACTATCACCTTAAAATTTAAAAAACTTTTATAAAAAATCAGTTACAAACTTATTAATAATAATAATAATAGTAAAAAAACCGTTTATAATTATTTGAAAAAAATTAACTTACGAAAAAACTTTTTTTTATTCTTTTTCTTGGGTTGTTGCTGTTGTTGTTGTTTGTCTGACTTTCTCATAAAGTCTGGTAAAATAATTTTTTTTTTTTTTTTTCTGTTGTATATGAAAAATTTTCTGATAAGTTTCTAAAACGAAATACGCAAGCGTTAGGGATGAAATTTTTTTTGGGAAGATAAAAAAGAAAAAAAACTCTTGATGATGACATCTTTTATTACTTTTGTAGCACTTCTAAAAAAAAAAAAGAATTAATAAAAAATTATTTAAATTTCCATTTTCGGTTTATAACAAAAAAAAAAAAAATGTCTGACAAAAAATTTCAGTTAAAAAAAATTTTATACTTACAATCATCATTTATTTGCAAATAAAAATTCACTATTCAATAAATATCGAATTAAATATAATATTATAATTAAAATTTAATAATTTAAAATAGTTTTTAATTTTTTTTTTCTTTCTATTTAAAAACTTATAAGTAATATTTGAATTTAAAAAAAAAAAAAAAACGTTTCGATAAAACGAACATCGAATTTTTTTTTTTTTTTTTTTCAAAGATGGCTAAACTGATAATCAAAGTTCGTTTGTGTTGTTCCACCTACATATAAATTGTTATTATCATCACTTGACATTAATTTTTTTTTTTTTTTTAAATAAAATTTGACATGTTTGTTATATAATATGGAAGGTGTTCTTTGGAAATGGACAAATTACTGGAGCGGTATTTATTTTTTTCGTTAAAATAATTATATTCATAATTGCCATTTTGTTAAATAAATAATTAATTAATTTGATTAAAATGAAACATCACAGTAAAATTTTTTTTTTTTTTAATTAATTAATTATCAATTAAATAATAATAAACGTTTTTTAAAATAGATTTTAAATAAAATTATTGATTAAAATAAATTTGTTTTCTCCGTTGTTTTTGTTATTAATTTTTATTTATTGTTTTTATAAATAGGTTGGCAGATGAGATGGTTTGTATTGAAAAATGGAATATTATCTTATTATAAATCACAAGAAGAAGTTGATCAGGGTTGTAAAGGTTCTTTAAAAGTTTCTGCTTGTGAAATAATTGGTATGTTTTCTCCCATTCAAATTTTTTCATTAATAATATTCTGAAAACAAACTGATCACGAGTAATGAGTATTTTTAATTTTACTCGATATCCTTACAGTACATTCTACAGATCATACAAGATTAGAAATATCAATACCAGGAGAACAACACATGTATTTAAAAGCATCATCAAAACAAGAAAGACAAAAATGGCTTGTAGCATTAGGTAGTAGCAAAGCTTGCATGACTACAAGAGGTAGAAAAGAACATTTCGATATTGGTAATGGTGATTCGTTAAAATCGAAAAAATTCGAATTGAAATTATATTGTGATTTATTAATGCAACAAGTGCATCAAGTGAAAACTTGTGTCAGTGATAAAAATAACATTGATGTTAATTCATTAAATGAAGCTACTAACCTCCTTTCAGTTACTTGTGATACATTCATAACAACATTAGACGATTGTATGAAACTCTCAGATGCTAATTTTCTTCTAGAACTTTCTCATCATCCTCCAACTGATACTCTTGTTCCATTAGGTTGTCACCAAAAAGGAAAACCTACAGTACCAAATATGAAAAGAAGTAGTTCCTATGAATCCCCTCCTGATTTAAAACCAAACGAAAGAAAGACGTGAAACTTATTGAAATAGACCGAGTGTGATGATAATAATAATAATAATAACTAAAAATTTACGTAGAACTTTTTTTTAATTGTGCCAATACCAGTGATTAATAGTTAGTTAGTTAATTAGTTAGTTTAATGGCTTCTTACCTTCTTTTATCTTATTTAAACATTAACACTGCATTAGTGTAGATATTAACTAGTCGAAATCAATACCAAATACACACTTAATATTAGGTGATTATTATTATTATTATTATTAGTAAATTATTATTGACTGCTATTGTTTAATAATGTTATTTATAATTTTCCCCTCCCCCTCTCCTCCCCCTTTTTAATAAATTATAATTTTTTTAAATATTTATTTTTATTTATTTTTATCATGTGTGTGTGTCTGTGTCTGTGCGTCATTTTAAAAAAAAAAAAAGGATATAAGAAATTATGTATTAAAATAATTTAATAAAAAAAAGTTGTAAATAAATAAAATAATAATTTTATTTATACATTGCATTATTATTATTATTATTATTATTATTGTTATTGTACATTGATTAATCTGTTAATAACTCTCTATTTATTTATTTATTAATTTTTTTTTGGGATTTTATCCATGGGGCTTCTCTTTACTATCTATCATTTTAGGATTCCAGAAATTAAAAAAATTTTTTTTCCCTTTGATTTCATCATATTAAAAAAAATTTACTTTTCACTCACTTATTTATAATTAATAATAATAATAATCAAAAAAAATTGTTACAACAAACGAACAAACAAATTTTTTTTTTATTGAGCAAAATTTTTGTTTTTTTTTTATTAATAAAAAATTCAGTTAATTAATTAATTAATTAATAGAAATTAATAATAAGTTTGTCAGAACAAAAAGAAAATTAATAAGTTAATAAAGTCAAATTAAATAAAAAATTTTATGTATATATTATTTTTTTTTTTTTTTTATTTTTTTTTTCCTCTCATCATAATAATTCGTTCGTTTTTTTTTTTTTCCTTTTTTACTATAAACATCAATTATAATTTCTTATTAAAAATCATTGAAAAAGGATGACACGTGGTCACGCGCTCACGTGACACACACACACGTGCACCGGAGTGTAAAAAAAAAAAAAAAAAAAAAAAAAATTACTTTCCATTCACAATAAATTTCAATTCGTTAAATTAAATAACGAAGAATGAAAGAATTTTCAGCACAAAAAAAAAAAAATTTTTTTATTAACTATCAATTAAAAAATAATAAATTTCTTCCCCCCCTCCCCCCCCCTCCCCCTCCTTCTCTTCCCTCTCTCTCTCCTTCACTCCTCCTTCTCTTTCGAGAGAGAGAAACGATTTTATAATAATTCCTTGCTCAGTTAAATTAAATTCACTCAAACTAAAACTAAATCAAAAAAAAAAAGATTATAATAATAATAATAATTCTGTATAAAACAAAATACTGAAATATCATTTAATTTTTTGCTCCGCCCTCCCCCTCCACTCCTCTCTCCCTAAAAAGCTCTAACTAAGCTAATAAGAAAAGAAAAGAAAAAAAAGGCAAAACAACAAACGACTACCCTTAAGTCAATAAGTACTCATTAATAATTGTAAACAATAATAATAATAATAATATTAATAATAGTTAATTCACAACCGAAAATAATAATAATAGTAATAATGATAATAATAAAACGATAATCGATTAAAATTAAAATACTTACAAAAAAATTTACAATTCGAGACTAGTTTATGTTATTATTATTATTATTATGCTGCTTATATTATATTTACTGATAAGAAAACTGATAAGAAAAATAATATTATTATTATTTCACGTTTCGATCATTTCATCTCATGCTTTGATTAACTGAGCAAAATATTTATCCGTCGATTTGTATTTTTTTTTTTTTTTTTTACTGGAATCCTAAACCCCGTGATGGCCTGCCCCCCAGTCCTCCAGCCCCCCAGCCCCCTCACGGATGCGGAGATAAACTACGTGATAAAATTGATATTACCGTTATTTAACTACAGCAAACCCCCCTTTCTACCAAACAACATTGAACTGATTGTGCCTAAAGGCCCGGAAGACTGCTGCTGCTGTTGCTGTTGTTGCTGCCGCTGTTCTCCAGACGAAGATCCTCCTGATACGGTGCCGAGATCCAAACGACGTCGGCTTTTATTCCCGGCTCCCGGATTTGTCGTTCCCGTTCCCGTTCCCGCCTTTCCCAGCTCCGCCAGATTTTTATCGATCGATGGAGACATCAAAGTACCCTTGAGATTGGTTAGTTGAGTCATAGGACTCGGTAAGCTCCGACGAGAGTACAAACCACCTTGCAAAGTTGGCTGCATTAAACCCGTCGTGTTCGCCATTAACGTTTCCAGGCCCAGGCTTTCAATCTTCTCGACTAATCTGATGCCTGACAAGGCCTGAAAAATCATTTAAAACACACTTTAAAATAACTTATTTACGTGTCGTCGACGTCATCGTCGTTGACGTCATAGTTACCCGTACAAAAAAAAAAAAAAAAAAATTTTTGTTTTGGCGTTCGTGTCTTTATGTATATATACATATATATATATATATAGATATATTTATTAGAGTAAAAACTGTTTTTGATAGGATTACTTTCATAAAAAAATACAATAAATTTATCAATGCTTAGCTTAGCTAGTAAAAATCTTCTGGAGAAATCATTCGACACATTTCTCTTTTGCTGCAAACCGTCTGGGGGATTTGAATCAGGAAAATAACTCGGTGAAAAAATTTCAGGGCGTTCACGAATATATTAAGTTCTCTTGTTACCTTACGATCAGATCGCGAAAGTGCGAGTTTATTACGACGAGAACGTTGTGGAGACCTCGGCGAAGTATTGCTTATGAAAGTACGCCTAAGAAGCTCGGCTCCACTCGATAGAAATCCTGAAAGAAAGAAAAAGACAAAAAAATTATTATTATTATTATTATTATTATTTCAAATGGAAAATGAATCCAAAAAAAAACAAGAAAACTATTCTCACCGGGTAATTTAAGAGGATGAAACGGTGTCGGCGAGGGAGACCTGGAAGAAATCGGAGACCCGTCCGGACTGTTGGCTGGCGTAGCAGTCGGAGTGAAACTTTTTTCGCAGGAAGGTGTGTTAAATGCGGATATTGTTGCCGCTTCGATTCCACGTTCGTTAAGGAGTTTAGCTAAACCGTACGTGGTTGAAAAAGTCGAACAAGAATTCCTACGACTTAAAACTCTAGGAGTGGGCGGAGCCGTCGACTGACGGCTGTTGGTGGCTCCCGTGCAAACCTTACTACCCACAAGACTGCAAAGAAATTTATTTATGTAAAGGCAAAATGATGATGATGATGATGATAAAACATTTAGGGTGGATATATACCTATGTGTGACACTCGTGTTATCATCGGGATGCATGACGGTGCTATTAGTGTACGTGTAAATACTATTTGAATTCTGAAAACTTTTTCCAGGATTAACAAATTCTTCATCTTCTTCCAAATCGGACAACGTGTAAATTTCAAATCCCATTTCGTCTAAACTTTTCCCTCCTTTCGTCTGTACTCCCGGCCTTTCTTCTAGCAAACCCCCTAAAGTGGGAGTGGCCAATTGTGACCAATGATACAAAGTTTGTGATCCCTCCATGGGTTTTACGATCTGATGCGAAAATAATTCGATTGTTAATCATTTAAAAACAATTTTTTTACGTTTAAAAATGGAAAAATGGCCTTCCTCTTACTTGTAATTTATTTGGTAACCTCCAATAACTATGTCCGTTATAACCGCTGCTACCCGTAGACATAATAGAATCTGGAGTTCTACAACCTAGAGGCACTATTGTTGCGTCATATTCGCCATAACCCCTACATACGGGAGCATTATTACCTAGAGCAGCTCTTCGAGCCGTTACTTCAGCTGGAGTTAAACGTTTAAGAGCTTCTGCAATTTCCGTGGAACCAGGAACTCCTGGAACTCCCATAATTGGACCGTTCCTAAAAAAATGAAACGCTTTTTAAATTGCAAACCACATTTTCAATTATTATTATTATTATCATTACAACTCACGGATATATAATGTCGTCACTCGTAACAGAATCCGTATCGTTTATTCCAACTGAATCTAAACTTTGTACACTAAATGAACTATACACTGTAGAACTTCCTATATTACGTCTATTCGGATCAATCCCTTTATTGGGATAACTTGCAAAAGCGCTCATTCGCGGAGCAGAAGCCGAGGATGTGACTATTGAAGGTTCTAATAAATTGGGACTCTTTTGAAAACCTCCTCCTCCTCCTCCTCCTATCGGACTCGATCTACTACTACCACCACCACCACCAACATTTTTCGGTTGGGCGTATTTAACCGTTTCGAAAACTTTTTTATAGGGTCGCCTAAAAGACATACATAATTTTTCATTTCCGGTTTAAAAATAATAATAATAATAATAATAATAATAATTTTTATTTAAAACTTACAATCTATCTGTGCTTATACCAGAATCTAAGCTAAGCTCCGAATAAAGAGAACTTTCTAGTTCGGAAGCTAAATTATTGCCGGGTAATTGAGTTCCAAAAGAGGATAGCGTGGGGAACAAACCTCCTCTCACGGATGGCATTGATTTTTTCCTTTGTTTTTTCAATTGTTCTTGTGCGTCTTGTAAAAGATTAATCACTTCCTCGTACCTGTCCTTAAATTCGACCAATTCGGCCGCTAATTTATTTTGATTTTCTTTCGTTATGTTCAATACGGTTGTTAAATCTTCGCTTTCTAATAAAACCTAAAAAAAAAAAAAAAATTTCGACATTACAATCGTGGGGGGCGGGGAAGAAACAAATTTCATTTGTTTTATAAATACTTTATGATATTTTTCTTCCGTATCTTTCAACTTTGATTTAAGGCTGACGATTTGTTCGTGTTGACTCCTGTTTTCTTCCTTTTGCTTTTCCAAATCGTCCGAAATCCCTTCGACTTCGACCGTCGCATTGGCCAATTGCAGAGAAATATCCTGTACCAATTTCTGCTCTTGTTCCTCGACTTTTTCCGCTTCTTTTGCCAATTGTGCAAATTCTCTCTGTAACGATTTATTTTCTTCCTCCAACGTTTTTATCCGCCGTTGCATGAACTCGATGTTGATGCATTTAAGTGCGGTGGGAGTACCCGCCTCCGAACCAGATTCATCCGTGTCATTTGTGAGAACCTTTCAAAAATTCATTTTTTTTATCGAAGAAAAGTAATTCCTCAAATAGTTGCAATCGAAAAAAAAAAAAAAAATTCAATTCATACCTGTATGAGTTCGGTTTTCTTAGCAAGTTCGTGAGAAATTTGCTCAATTTTATCATTGGCTGCTTTTAATTCCGCTTCTAAAGTAGCCACATTGTTTTCCAACTTATTATTGTGTGTTAAAAGTTCTTTTCCTATCCTAGCAGTTAGTTCTAAATCCTTTTCCTTCTACGTAAAACAAAAAAGAGAAGAGTTGATACCCGTCGTCGTCATATTTATCATTATTATTATTATTATAAAAAATAAAAAATAAAAATTGATTTAATTACCTCTTCCAGAAGCCTTGTTACCGCTTCTATATCATTATAAGTTTTGCTCATTTGGCTCACTCTTTCGCTGCATAGAACTGAAACGAAAAAAAAATAAAAAATAAAATTTATATTTCAAACGTTTTTCAACATCTTCGGCCATTTTTTTTTTAAATTTCTAATAGGGAGGGAGGGAGAAGCTGTTCGTTTCGTAGGAAAAAACTCGTCGTACCTTTTTCGTGATTCAAACCGATTGATAAAACCGTTTTTACAATATTCATCGTGTACAACAAATATAAATTCCTATAAAACCTACGCGCCAAAAAAAAAAAATTATTCAATACAACGATAAACGCATTTGTGACAATAAAAATATGTTACTGATCCGACGATCTCCGATTGTGGTCCAGAGCACAGCTTTCCAACGCGCATCAATGATAATATTGGCTGGTTGGTTGGTCGTCGTCATGGAAACGGCGTCATTTTCTAACAATAAATCAATACACACACATACACATACATTTTTTTTTTTTTTTTTTTGCTGCGGGCTGTCGTCGGTCTCATTTTTAATTTATTTTAAATTCAAAAAAAAAAAAATTTCGAAAGAAAGAGAGAAGATGAAGAAGAAACCTTTGAAAAATCCAATTAAAATCCCGAAGGATTAATCCCAGAAAAAAAAATCCTCTCGCTCTCGACGAAATTTTTTTTGGTTTCCACGATGGTTTCTTACCTCTCGCCATTAAATCTTCATCGATGGAGGGAAGTTTGGACGTCGTACTCATATCGATTTCGTCATCGTATTCGTATAAATCTTCGCTTGAATCCAGGGGAGCGTGAGGTCCCAACCTCCTCCTCCTCCTCCTACCCCTCGAATTCGACGACTCGTCCGACGTTTTCTTACTTTCATCTTCCGATATGGAAGTGATTCCGCTGCTGGAATCAAACGCGTCTCTCTGCCTCTGATGAGACTGATACGTTTCCAACGATAACGATTGTTTCGAATTCCAATTATGACTTTCGAATGAAAAATCGCTGACATCTCCGGAAAATCGTGTGTTTTTACTGCTCGTGTTACTCAAATTCCTTTTGAAATTCTGATGACTGTCGACGGACAAATTCTCACTATTTTTACCGCAATTCAAACACCATTTTGAACTTCGACCCAATGACCTTCGACCCCGGATTCGAACTTCTTCGCCGCCGGATGACGACTCGTTGCCATCATCGGATTCTTTCAATTGTTCCCGGATTTCTTTCAACCCTTCGAGAATTTCATCCGAATCCTTGCTGTTACTGTAATTGTCGACGTAATTATCCCACGACAAACTCCTCTCGCTGGAAAAACCGGTAAATTTTTTATCCGAGTCGTGTAATGAATTTTGCCTAATTAGCGTTTTGACGGCGGCGAGATCGTGTATCGAATCCTGACGTATTAGAAATTTTGGTCCAGAATTTTCGGAGATTTCCGAAACCGCGAGATCCCTCTCGCCGATCCCATCTTCGCTATCTATCCATTCGATTTCCTCATTATCTTCTTTCGAGTGTAAATTCATGCAGATTTTTATTAATATTTATATATTTCACGTCATCGACAACGAATCATTAAAAATTATTTATTTTGCTCGCGAAATCATTTCGCGAAAAAAAAGTCACGAGACAAATGAACTTCGCGACGGTGAAATGCGTAAACATTTTACAACGTGTGAAATCTCAAAATTGAAAAATCTCATAAATTATCGTCTTAAAGAGAGAGAGAGAGAGAGAGAGAGAGAAAGAGAAAAAAAAAAAGACGGGGCAGCAGAGTGTGAATTTACATGACGATGCACGATGAAATTTACACTTCCCGTTGTACCCGTGTCAAACTGTTAAAATCGTTTTTATCACCAATAATTAAATAATACAAAGGCGATGTAAAAGACACATTTTTTAAAATCCCCCTAAAAAAATTTATTATTATTATTATCACTATCACTCCTATTAAAAAAACAAACAATAACCTACATTAAAAAAAAACCTGGACGAAGGGGAGGAAAGGGTTAGTGTACAGAAAAAAAAATTAAATAAAATAAAACAGAGAGAGAGAGAGAGAGAGACTCCCCACACCTCACCCCTTCCCCTTTTGACTGACTCGATTTAATATCGAAACTAATAATAATAATAATAATAAACTAATTGAAGTGTAAACCGGGTAATATTCGCAAGGCAATAAAGCAGAAATCTCTCAACGTAAAAAAATAATAATAATAATAATAATAATAATAACTGGAGGCACAATTTTTCTTTCCAGTTTATTTATTTATTATAACCGACACACTTTTTATTTATTTATTTATTTTCGGAACTTTCCAATAACGTTCACCACCGCACCACCATACACCACCACCACCACCGTAAAAAACGTGTTAATTTATTATTATTATTATTATTATTATTATTATTGAAAATATTGCATCTTTTCGTACAATGTTTTGATGCTCATTCTTTTCCTCACCATCCCGTAAACAATACAAAAAAACCTTTTTTTAAAAAAATACGAAACAAACGTTCTTATTAAATAAATAATTAATTTGACTAATAAAAAAATTTTCTTTCTTTCTTTCTCTCTCTTTTTGTGCGTCTCCTTTTTTTATAATAATAAGCGAAGAACTCAAAGTATTTAATTTCGAGGTCTTAACAGCGCAAAATCATTCCAGAAAAAAAAAAAAAAAAAAAATTCGCGCTTGCTTATTCCACGACGAATAATATCTATCTGGAACATTGTTTAACCCGGTGGTTGTTTTTCATACAAACACAAACACACACGCACGCACACAAACGCGTGAACCTTTTTTTTTTGATTGTTTTACTCAATAATAAAACGACACGACGGGAAGTTCATTTAAAATTTTAATTAAATAAAAAAATAAAAAAACCAAATAAAAACGAATAATGTCGCCATTTCGTTTTGTCCTCCCACCGCCTTCCCGAAATGTTTTTTAAAAAAAAAAAAATTATTGGCGTTCGGGTCACGGGAATGGGGGGAAGTTTCCCCCCGATTACCCTTTTTTTTATCGACTCCACTTTTTTAATAACTAAAAAAAAAAAAAAAAAAAAACGTAACCGAAATATTATTGCAATATGAAAATTAAAAAATAATTTCTGACGTCAGATTTCCTTTTTGAATTTTTTACATAAATAAATAATAATAATAATTTTCTCTCAGAGGCACCAAGTGCCGAAATCCCGGGAGGGGAGGAGGGGGAAAAAGCTCCCGTACGCAAAGCATTTCCTGACCGAAAAATAAATAAATAAATAAAAGCTTATATTTCCGGAAATTAATATTTTTTAGGACTCTAGTTAATTATCGAATGACGTCATCGTTCGAGATGGAAAAAATTATGAAACGTTTTTGCCGACTCCGCCCGTGAAATCTTACTTTGCAATTTTTTTCCCTACAAGGTCTCCCCTCCCATCCCCTCCCCTCCTTGACACTTAAAATTTCTTCTCGCGCCGTGAAAAAAACTCGTTAATTACCGCATTCGAGAACAAAAACAATAAAAACAACAACAACAACAACAACAACAACAACAACAATGATAACGATGATAAAAAAAAATTGCAAGCCTAAAAAAAAAAACGCTTTCGGTTGCACTCGATTAACAAAAAAAACGGAAAAATTTTCCTTCCTAAGGCATTTTTTTTTGGGGGGGGGGGAGGTTGAATCCCACTCGAATTTTTAAATATCGATTTTTTTTTTTTTGTTAATAATTATTTTCTCTTGAAAAAAAAAATGTAAATTCAAAATTTCTTATTATCATTATTATTATTTTTAATTATTTGCATCTTGTCGATGTTGTTGTTGTTGTTGTTTAAAAAGTTCAAGTTGTTTACATCAACATCAATAACAATAATAACAACAACAACAACAACAACAACAACTCTTTCCCCGAGAAATTTTTTACATGTTTAATTAATTAATTATTTATTTATATAAAAAATAAAATCATGTGAAAAATTGTCGTACGTTGTCAATCGTAATCAATCCCTGTTATCAACAACAACAATGATAATAATAATAATAATAATAATATTATTATTATTATTATTATTCGGCACACGCCCTGCTTCCATCTTTCTTTCTCTTCTTCCGTTAAAAACTCTACCTACCGACTTTCTTTCTTTATTTCTTTTCCTATCTATTATCTCTAATCCGCGTTACTTACTTTTCAAAAATAAATTATTTTTCTCCTCCCCCTTCCTCCTCCCATCCCCTCCCCCCGCCACACCTCCCTTCCTTTCTCTGTCACCTTTTGACTTTACCCGAACAACAAGTAAACGACGCGATAACCCGTGGTAATAATAATAATAATGATTTCTCTTTTTAACGACGACGGCACGACGAATTCGAATGATGTTAACGAACGAACGAACGAACGAGAGAAAGAAAAAAAAACGATAATAATAATAATAATAATAATAATAATAATAATAATAATGATAATAATTTAAAGGGCAATCGTTTCGAACTCGGACGAAAAGAGACGGGAAAACAAGAAAGTAAAATTTTTGCTTTTTTTTTTTTTTTTTTTTTAGCCGTTTAAAAAAATAATAATATCCAATCGAAAACGAGATAGAGATAAAATTTACTACTTCCACGATCGTGTTCTTTTTTTTTTTTCATCTTCTTCTACTACTGCCACGTCAATCTATATTTCTCTTTAACGCCCGACAAAAAAAATCAACGAATACAATTTTTTTTTTTTTTTTTTTTCAATCATTCGTAAATCGAATTGTAACCCTTACGAAAAGGAAAATGGAAAACCTAAATTTTCTCTCTCTCTCTTAATCCGCCCCCTGCATATCCCTCCCCTTTCCCGCCCCCCCCCCATTTAATTCCTATCGAACGAAATCGATTTTTAAATTGAAATTTAATTTTAAATCTTTCATTTTAATAATTATAATTTATAATCAGCGAATGATAATCAAAAAAAAAAAAAAAAAAAAAAAACGAAAAATTAATGAACGAAATATTTAGAGCAAATTTTTTTTTTTTTTTTTTTTAATTAATCAGTTCATTAAATTAAATTAATTTTTTATCATTAGGTAATCAGCGCGAAAAAGAAAAAATTAAAATTAATTTGATACTACTTTTCTATATAGTAAAAAAAAAAAAAAAAAATCAAAATGGCGTAGCAAGGTATGACATAAACGATTTCGAAATCATTTCGTTTCATTTTTTCCGCCCCCCCCCACTTAATAACAATCGATTTGATATTATAGAAAACCCAGTAGTCGTCGAAATTATTAAATAATAATAATAACTTTACAAATCGACAAGATGCTTAGGAAAACAACAACAACAACAAACGACTTGACACTGTTTGTTTGTTTTAAACACGTAAAAAAAATACAAAACCGAAATCCGAAAAATCCGTACCCGCGTACAAAGACATCGAAACGAATACAAACAACAACAACAACAAACAACAAACAACAAAATAGGGTTAAACCGGATGCTACGTAACGAAAACCTTTAGTACGAAAAGGATGATCGTCGTTGGAATTTGTCTGTTCCACACACACTGTCGTAAAAATCGATAACCTTCTTTTTTGTTTTTTTTTTTTGGGTTAAAAGCTCCATTTTCCCCTTCCCCCCCCAGTCTTACCTTCTTCGTTTTCCAATTCATTCGATGGCATATTTTTTTTAACTCTCAAACAAACGTGACCGGATTTTCCCTGTCGGGGACCGATGTGGTATAAAAATTTACCACTTTGCTCTCCGTCAACTTCGGCAACGACGCCCGAACACGAACACATCGGACAAGCATCGTCGATGCTTATTTCCGTCCTTATATCGGACGAATCTAAATTTGATGTTTCGTGGCTGTGAATCATCATTATCATCACCGTCACCATCATCTGACTATCGCGATCACTTTGTCACGCATTTTTTCAATCGAACCTTTTCACATAAGGTATAATAATCACTCATCAACAACGAACTAACCGTGAATTTTTTTTTGTTTATTTTGCTTAACTTTAAAAAACGCCACAATTAATTTAAGAAAAAAAAAAAAAATTACATTATTATTATTATTAATTGATTGTGATTTCCCCCTCCCCTCCCTCCCACCCCTCTCTAAATAAGGTTAAATAGCATAAATATTAATTTTCGTTTCGAACATTTAAACAAACAGTAAATATTTTACTGACGACGACTCGACAAGTAATAACGTTAAATAATTAATAATAATGATATTAATAATAATAAATTCAAAGGTACCATCGTACCTTAAACCTTATTCTTCTTTAACTTATCTTAAACGATTTGATTATTTTTACTACAACAAACACGCGTGACACGCATTTATTTTTCAAACACGCGAAAAATTAAAAAAAAAAAAACTAACAACCACGGGTAAACCACCATTTAAACAAAATAAATAAATAAATAAATAAATAATGGCTGACGTGGGGAGGTGGGGGGTGGGGAGAGAGAGGGGGGGTACGAGAAAGAAAAAACATCATTAACCGACTAACAAATAACCGTGACAAAAAAAAAAAAAAATCGCACGTGTTTAAATAAAAACAATCATCTAAAAAAAAAAAAATAAATAAATAAATTTTAACGGCTTTTCAGAATTTCGGAGGTTCAGGTTCACAGGTTTGCAGGTTCAGAATCTCTCTCGTCTAATAATTATTTTTTAAACGATATTTCCAAATTTGAGGGGACTGACTGACTGACTGACTTTCAATTAAATATCGATTTTTATAATTAATTAATTATATCGATTTCACTTTTGCCTCTTAAATGGTAGTACTAGTAGTAAACTTTCATTTTTTCTTTCTTCTTCTTCTTCTTCTTCTTACTACAAACACGTGACCATTTCAAAATCGTAAAATTTAAATTCAAAAATCTTATTCCCTCCATTTTTAAAAGTAATAAATTCGCGAATAATAATAATAATAATAATAATTTAAATCGAGAACCACGACAACGATCAATGTGAACAGCTTAAAGGCAAATTTCCACAAATTTCTTTCCATTCCGTTATAGACATATATATTACACGCTCTAAAGTAATGATGATAATAATAATAATAATATTAATAATAATAATGATAATAACATGCACGAAAAGGAAGGAAAAAATAAAAAGAAAGAAAATAAAAAAAAAAAATTTCACTCGATCGAAAGAGAGAGAAAGACAAAAAAAATTGTTTTTCTGTTTTTTTTTTTTTTTTCATTACCGGTAATATTTTAAAAAAACATCACCAGTCAGATTTTCTTACTCTTTCCTTCCTTCACGTACTCCTATATTCAATTTACCATCATCATCATTATCATCATCATCATCATCATTTACTTATTTATTTGCATTTTTCTTTCATTTCTTTTCTTTTTAACGGTTATTGTGATTGCAAGTTTCTTTTCATTTAAAAAAATTAAAATGATATTATATTTAAAACGTCGTGCGAGAAATTTTTAATTTTCACAAAAAAAAAAAAAACGATAATGATAATAATAATACGACTTTTAACTATTTCCGGTCAAATTTAAACAATTTTTCTTTTTCCAAAAACGATTCTCACTAACCGAAAGGTCAAATCCCTAACCGGACGTGTATGTGCGTGCGTGTGTGTGCGTTTGTTAGGCTCAAAACTAGAAAAACCCGCAATTTTCTCCATCGTGATGGTAATGATAATGATAATGATAATGATGATGATAACAATAATAATAATAATAATCGATCAAAGTACAAACGTTTTACATCTTAAATTAAACACATTAATACAAAAAAAACCTTTTTTTTCCCTTCAAATGAAAATCTTATTATCATTATTTTGTTTTAAAATTTTTTTTTACTTTATAATTATTATCATTATTATTATTATTACTCCGTGACGATTTTTTTTTTTTAATTTAAATGACAAAGCAAAAAAATTAAATAAAATAAAATTCTACGCGCAAAAATCACACGCACACGCACACGCACACAAAAAAACAATTCAATTTTTTTTTCTTTTTTCTCATGTATTAATTCTAATTCTCTACTTTATTTTTTTTTTAAATTATTAAATTCCGCGCCAAAAAAATTTCTTTTTCGATTTGATTTTACGTCTTTTTTCCAGGTTTTTCATTCTTAACATATTTATTATGAAAACGTAACAAAATAAAGTAGAAAACTTTACAGTTATTCATTCTACCGATTGTGGTGGAAAATTCTCGAAAAATCTTAACCGGTTGTGTGATTTAATGACGAAATGAAAAAAACATTATTCTTGTCCATTTTACCACGATATTTACAAAACAATAGGCGGGGGCGGGGGGAGAGGGAAACAATGGTAATCCTAATGCAAGGAAGTAATTAAAACAAATCACCTGCCACATCTTAATAAAATATTATTTAAAATAATAAAAATAATAACCATATATGGAAATAACAAAACGAGATCGACAACAACGAGAGAGAGAGAGAATCGAAAAAGAACAAAAACATTCACGAAAAATAACTTCTTAATTATTTGAATTGGAAATTTTCCAATTTGACAAAAAAATAACTTAAATAACCTTTAATTGTACCTAATCTAACAGGTAAAAAAAAAAAAAAAGAAGAAAAACACGTGACGCGAGAATCATATGATAATGACGATAAAAACAATGATATACGAGAGAAGAAAAAGGAGGAGGAAAAAAACAAAATGGCGGTTGTTGATAAATGAATCAATTACGGTGTGACGACGACGCGCGCGTAAAAATCAAATAATTCAGGTCCCCACATTTAAAATATATCAAAGATTCGTTTGATGAATTTTCCGAAAGACGCATACGTCACAAACATAAACCGCGATTAAACATTTTTTTCTTTTAAAAAATTTTCCTTATCGACACGAAAACAATGTCGAAACGCGGGGAGAAAACGCGGCGTAAACATTTTCGTTTATCGATAAAGGGAAACAAACAAAACGTTTTTAGAAACTCGAAATAATATACAAACGCCGCGTAAAACAATTTGTTCCAATCGTAAAAACCGATAAATTTTCATTTAAAAGAAAAAAATTAAACAAAAAAAACGATATCGCGGTTGTTGTAATAACAACAACAAACAATTCTCTTCTATGTTATTATAAGGCACCGAGAAAACAAAAAAATTTCATTATCACAAGTTCTGATAACATCTTTTTTTTTTTTTTTTGACTGAGTGATTTTATTTACATGTTTAACTCGCTCGGTAGACAGCCAAGGACAACAAAACCAAACCAAGGGTCAAACTCGATGCAACAACAACAACAACAACAACAATTATTTGATTTTGAACCGAACGAACGACCGAGTAAGCAAACAAACAAACAATCAAAGTACATCATTCATACTAACGAAAAATTTAAAAATCGAGCGTTGACCGTTTTAGGGTCAGGGGGCGACGAGGGGGAGGAGGAGGGGAAGGGAGGGGGGTAGAAAAATGATAATCGAAGAATTCGTTGATCGATTGAAATTT